GGTCCCAAGGCCTTTTTACTCAGCCTTAGCCATGGAGGGTTACAGCTTCTGAAACTAGGCAGGGCGGTTCCCAACAAGAGGCTTGTCAGTCTAACATGGGGAAGGGATCAGTCGGCTAGGGGTGGACCCATCAGAAGCCCATGAAAGCTTGGGAAGATGACTGGTTATTTTGAAAAATCTCCTGGCCCTTCCTAAGCCCAAAGTAATACAATCCAAGGAAACGAAGAAGAGCTGCTCTGTGACCTGCACTTGCCCTGTACGCTCACACATTCTCTATACCCATGTTGTTAGGGTGCTCGGTGACTCGGGCTGTGAAAGATTTCCCAAAGAGAAGGAAGTGCAGACAGTAAAAGCTTTTATTTTTACTTTCCCAAGGGAGGAAAAGGACTAGGTGTGCACCAGCCCCAGCCCTGAGGGGTGGGGCTTCGAGTTCTTATCGGGTAATGGGGTGGTTGTAGAGCAAGATGTTTCAGTTGGGCTGCAACTTGTTTATCTTTGGGTGCAGGGCCTGGTCGGTAGTTGTGCTCTGGTGTGTGTCCTGTTTCATAAGTCCCAGAGCCCCTGTGCCTTCAGGGAGCTTCCAGTAATTTGCTAGTGCTGAGGATAAAGCTCATAAAATGATTAGGGTCTGTCATTCTTTATGGGGTCCAGCCAGTTCTGGGAAAGAGGGTCTGAGAAAGTGGCTTTGTCCTATTACACGTGGCCCTGGCAGCTACGCAGCCCATGGCCAGCAGGACTCTGAATTCAGACCGAGGGTGGGAGCCTGAATCCTGTAGCATAGCAGTGCGGCCAGGAGCACAGGCTAAGCTCGCTGAATGGTGAGAAAGGCTGGACAGGACTGGGCTTTAGTATGAAACAGAAGCTCTGAATGCTGGCCTTTGTTTTGGCCTTGCAGAAGACGAGACTGGACTCTTCACAGTGGGACAAAGACGCACCCAGGACAGCCCTTTGTGTTCAACTTCAATAAACCCACCACAAGACCACACCTCCCATGCGGTTCCTGGAATGCCTTCGTTGGGGCACTGTGGAAGAGCCCAACTTCCACCAGCAACAGCGTGAGCCTGTGTTGTGGGCCTAGTTGACCTACTTTAAATCCTGGCTTCCCCAGTGATTAGCTGTGTGGCCTTGGGCAAGTCATTGAAACTCTGAGCTCACTTGCTTAGACTTCCTCTTTTGTGAAATGGCCATAGTAATTTGTCAGTCTTCTAGGTTACTGTGAGGATTGAATGTGAAAATGTTTTTAAAATACGTGGCTTATGGCTTTGAAGAAACTAAAGAAAACCAATAATATTTATAGAATAAGATGTAGAGACTTAAAGGATAAAGTGTGCACATGATTTCAGATCAGTTGTCTTTAAGATGTTGGTATGAGATGCCATGCAGTAGACTTCATCTTTGTGTACTTCTCTTTAAGAGACCTAAAGGCAGGGATTCCCAACCTCTGGGCTGCGGACCAGTGCAGGTCTGGGCCTGTTAGGAACTGGGCCACTCAGCAGAAGGTGAGCTTGAATGTAATACGCTTGGATCATCCCGAAACCAGCCCCCAACCCCAGTCCATGGAAAGATTGTCTTCCACAAAACTGGTCCCTGGTGCCAAAAAAGGTTGGGGACCGCTGCCTAGAGGTACGAGAAGGACTAGGAAAGAGAGGTGCTGTCCTTGGGAGTAAACCAGGGGGCAGTGCTGCAATTCTCAAGTGTGACCACAAAATGGAGTCCATTGTGTTGCAAAGAGCTTCTTAAACTTGACTGAGTCGGGGTGGCAGCACAGTATCGATCTGCAGAACATGCAGGGGCAGCTCTTCTGGGCTGGACTGTGCCTTCCGGCAGCTCCCTGACTTGTGCCCAGCAGGGGCTGCAGCGTGTGGGAGGGCATCCGTTTCTCCCTCCCACCGTGGGGTTTTAGGTTTTGACCTGGTCAGGGGAGCTTTCCTTCCAGGACGGCCACTGATGTGTCTGACCAGGTGCAGAGCCCACTGCACACTGGGTCTCCTGAGAGCTAGAAGTACTTTTCTGTTTCTGAAAGTGAACTTTAAAAGAAGGGAACACTTAACAGAATCCAAGCGATTTCTTGGGGTTGTATTACAAAACCTCTTCCCCAAACCCCACTTTAAAAAAATGAGGATATTGAAACAGTGGAACAGGGAAAGTCCACCCGAAGGCACGGACCTTTCCTGCAGAGATTGCTGGGGCACAGTAATCCTCCATTATCTACAGAGCATGAAGATAATGGGAATCAGACTGTTAGAAATTGAACATATGTGTCCCCCTCCCCAAATCCATATGTTGGGACCCTAACTCCCCCAATGTGGCTATATTTGGAGTAAGAAAGTAGTAAATGTCTCATGAGGTTGCAGTCTAAAAAACAGGTGAAAATAAGCATACAAGTAACTGGAATGCAAAACATTGTAAGGCCTGGGATAGACACCATTCGGGGTGTCATCCCAGCCCCCCAGCCAGTTCTTCCCCTTTCTCTAGAACCTGCCTCACCTGCCCCGGGGGAGGGGTGAGCAGCAGCTGCTGGCAGAAAGAGACTCTGCTGTGAGAAAAACAAACAAACAAACAAACAAACAAACAAAGAACAACACAATAAAGTGGAGAAAGATGGAGCACGTCAGAGGACATGCCTCTGCTTTTGTGTGCAAAGAATCCATGATCCCCAAATGACTGTGAGGATGTTAACACCTACTTTGATTTCTCACTGATTCCCAGTTATCATTGATAACATTTGTATAGTTAGTCTACACTGGATGTTTTTTCACATGCTAGAATAGCTTTTAAAAATGGGTTTCGAGTTACTTTGTGTCTATTTTAATTTTCTGCCTGCTGTGCATCACGGAAACTTCTGTGTGAATCCTTGTTTACAAACTGGACAGGGCTTCTGAGTACCCTGGGACACTGATGTCTGCTAATAAACTGGTATAAACGGTTTCTCTATCTCCATGTCTAACTAGAAATAAAGAAATAGATGGGTGATGTAGATATAAAGTGCACCCATTTCCTCTTTCTATCTGAAAAGATTACTCACTGCTTTTCAGCAGGGTGACTTTGGACAAATTACTAACCTTCGTTTCTCTTTGTAAAATGGCAGTTACAATAGTGCCAACCTCACTGGGTCGTTCTGAGGGCGAAATGGGATTAGCTGTGTGAACCACTCAGCACAGTGGCTGGCACCTCGCTAAACCAACACTCACTCCCAGTTCGCAGCTGTCCAGGTGGCAGGAACGAAGAGCATCTCTAAATGCTTCCATAGAGTGATCTCTAGTACCCACTGTGCAGTGAGAAAAGCAAGGTAGGGAAAGGAGTATAGAGTATGCAACACATTAAATATAAATATTCATTTATTTATTTTAATTAATTTATTTAATTGTTGTTCAAGTACAGTTTTTTGTCTTTTACTCCCATCCCAGCCCTCCCCCCAGTGCTCCCCACCTCCCTCCCAATTCTGCCCCCTTAGTTTTTGTCCATGTGTCCTTTATATCCTGTCAAATATAAATATTTACGATGAGGACCGGGATAGAAGCCACGCTTCTTTGAACATGACTTCGTTTGTAGATTTGACCATGGAAATAATTTACATAATTATAAAGTAACATTCAAAAGTGTTGAAGCCATTCCTAAACATAAACAAAACAAAACAAACAAACCAGCTTTGAGGACAACGACCCAGAGAAGGAGCTCTCGTGAGTGACCGTAAAACACAGTCATTTCAGTATACATCCCTGGCAGATAGATATGCCCCGAGGACAAAGGGAACTGCCGAAATACAAGTATTACACTCTGTAAAATAGCCATAGTTCTGCTAGCAGAAGCACTATTCTGAGATTGTTGTGTGTTTGCTGTGGTATGTGACACTGTGATTCTGTCATTCCCAGAGTAAATGAGAGCCAGACTCTCAGTGTGGGAGAAAGGAGACATGGAAATGAAAGAGGTCCAGAAAAATCTCCCTAGAACTGATTTGGAATGAGGGCTCTCAGTATGAATTCAGAATGTATTTCCCGGCTCTGTCTGTGGAAGAGACATAGAAATAATGACCAACCGGTAGCAGTGAGCACTCCTAGCTTCCAGCTTGTGGTCTCACATGCTAAAACATACCCACGGGACACTAACTTATGGAGGTGACTGAGTGATGACAGGAAGAGGTCATGCCACAGAAAGAAGACTTATTACCTACATTTCCTAAGAGAAGGAGAATGCCATGCCATGCAGGGCGGTGTGGTGAAGCACTGGGTTTTGTCAGCAGGCAGAAGGAGTGAGGAGAGAGCATGTAGCAGGGACTCTACTGTGTTTTCCGTGGGAGACGCAAGGCTGGGTAGGGCGAATAGTTTAGGATTGGATAGTCCGAATAATGTCGGTGGGCTCTAGGCTATACGGGTGGGTTCTAGTTGTCTGGTACCTGGCCCTGGGTTGATTTAGGGCAGGGGGAATATTGGCTTGGTGTGTGAGAGTTAGGTGAAGGATGTAGCTGGGAGTATGAACTCAGGATCAGGTGGTTGCATATGAAAGATGTGTTTGCAGGTGAGTTGTTTATTATTTTAGGAATTAGCTAGCTCTGGGAGGGGCAGTCTCATCCCAGTAAGCAAGGCTGCCCGAGATGTCAAAATATCATAAAATTACAACATGATTAATACACCTCAAAATACCATTTCCCACTAAGTTCTTAGAGAAGTGTTTGGCTCCAGGAAATGCATGAGATGAGCCTAGAGATCGTGTCATGTTGGAGAATAAGGAAGCTTTCAGAGGTGACTTGGGTCACACCATGAGGGCCCAGGAGCCAGTTGGAGGACCCTTGCACTGGCCAAAAATGGAGTAATTTCAGCATCAGTAAGAAGAAAAACTGCAGTAGATTAAAACATATCAATTGTATTTAAAGTTAACTCATTATTTCAAACATTGATAAAGAAAAAGAATCAAGCATTTATCCTGGTTTTCTGTAAAAACTGTACCACTGAGTAACCAAACAGTAAACGAAGGGTCTCTTCTTTGTTTAAATGCTGTATAAGGAATGATAGGCTCAGACTGTCACCATCTGATGAGCCCTAAGGTATTACAGGATCTACGTATGGAATACCAACACCTGTTGCCACAAGAGAATCAACCAGACACAAAGAGCCCCCTGCTGGAAGACTGCACCACTGCCCAGGAAGTACTTCTGCAAAGGTACGGAACCCGAATCAGAATGAGCCTCTAGTTCCAACAACCAAATTATAATAAACTCAAAGGAAAAGAGAGAGAACACATTAAATGCCTCCATAGAATTGTAATCAGCAAAATCCAGAGCGTGGGAAGCTCTCCAGACCAAGTATTCTGCTGTATCAAGCTAATTTCAATTAAAAAAAAGTTTAATGGGGCAGGGGTGCAGGATGGGGGATAGGGGGAACTAAGACATATCAGTTAATTGCCTTGTTGACTTGATATAGATCTTAACTTGAATAAATCTTTGAAAAGTTATAACTTTAAGAAACAGTTGGACATTTGAACTCTGAGTAGACAGTTCATTATATTAAAGAAATATTGCTAATTTTTTAGATATAATCATGGAATTGGGGCGATTTTTTAGAGTCCTTATCTGTTAGTATGTGCACTGAAATACTTGTGGATAAAAATCTATGCTGTCTGGGACATGCTTCAAAATAATGCAGGAGGGGAACGAGGGAGGGTATCAATGAAATGGAACTGGGCGGCGTGTGCTGAATACATAAAGGTTCTTTATGCCATTCTGTTTAGTGTATATTTAAGTTTTTCCATAACGGAACGGTTAAAAAAAAGAACGTGAAGTAGCAGCCATAAGATTTTAGCAATTATTTCCTCCACGCCCAGTGCCACTTCTCCAGCAGAGTGAGAGGACCCAAAGGAACGGTTTACCTGGGCAGTCAAGACTTGGCTTTCAAAGTCTTCCTCAGTAGAGCTTTGCAGGCACATTTACAATAATATCCTATTCATTCTTATGGAAATTACAGTCTAGATTTAATTCATCATTCAAACAACCAAACATGACTCTAATAAATTAAATGCTAATTATTTTGATTAAGCTTTTCTAAATGTCTTATATCATTCCCTGTCATAGGAAATTGAGTTACAACGTAATTTTTTTCTTTTTGCATTGTGCTCATTGTCATACAGCTTGGGAGGCAATTTAATTATCTGGTGTTATTAGCGTAATTCAAGCTCTGATTTTATTCTTTTATTCTAACTGGTGATTTTCCTGTTTGCTCCTTCTTGTTGCCGGCAGCATATCGCACCCCCACCGAATATACGTAATTGTAACGCGCTCGCTGCTTCGTATTTTACAGTCCTCATCACAGTCTGACAGCACGTCCTGGGCACAGTTAGCACTCAGTAACTGCACAGTGGATTGGATTAAACCTGGGAAGCATGGAAGGAAGCCAGAGGAAATAAAATAATTAACCTTATTAAACCATTAACCTTCATTTTAGACGCATCACTTAAGCTGCTGAGTGTAGTCTGGGAATTCATACCTGAGTTCCAAATGGTTGAGGTTGCCAGGAGTCTGGCTGCTGAATTAAGTGGGCGGTGGGGCTCTATAATATATGAAGAGGTATGTTTGCAGGTGCACGTAATTGCTGCTAATTTGTACCACAGGAAGAACAAAAGTAGCAAATTGTAAAGCAGTTCTATTTCTGCCTCTAGTACAAAGCACAGCCCTTGATTACCTTAAGTACAGCCCCTACCTTCATTGTAGATACCAGTGTACGAAAGTATTATCTGTGAAATTCCAAGGTACTTGTGGAAATTAAAACACATTTTTATAAAAGCAGAAGAAATATTTTGACTAAAACAAAGAATTAGTTAAATTGTATGGAAGGAGAAAACAACTCATAATCGTCACTCACTAAAACATTTACTCTTTTCCTATGAGATATATCTTAAGTGTACCTTTGGTAGACTCTCAATTATTTCTCACTAAATACAGTTTTGCTCAGGCAGAAAAACTGGAGTCGTCCTAGATTCCTCTTGGCATCCAGTCTCATCCACCTCATCTCGTGGCATTCAATCCATTCGTAAATCCCACCAATTACCTTTGAATTACCTTCCAAATTCGTCCGGAATCCAGCCATCTCACTATGTCTCTGTGACACCCAATTAAGGTCTCCATGCTCCCTCTCCTGAGCTTCATTTTAGCGTCTGGTCTCCTACTTCCACCACTGACTGTTTTCTATCTGCTTAGGGGGCAGGGGGGCGATCTATAGGAAGACAGGCTTATCACAGTTCTTCCCTGCGCAGCACCCTCCAGGGAATCCCACAATGCACCAGTCCTCATCACGGTCCGCTTGTCTACACGGTCTGCTTGTCTACACAGCCTGGCCCCCGCCTGCCTCTCGGAACTCATTTCCTCCACTCTGTTACTCAGCTGTTTTGCTCAAATCACATAGGTTTTCTGGCTGGTTTTTAAACATACAATAAATATTTGTTGAGTAAATGAAATACCATAGTTTCCAAATGAATGAATAAGTTGTATAATAATGAGTATAGACGTGTTGTACTAGCCCAGCTCAGGGAGATGATATTTTACCCAGTTGGTCTAAACTGGTGGTTCTCAGCCTTTACCTGGAATCAGAATCACTGGAGGGCTCGTGAAACTCGGATGGCTGGTCCCTCTCCTAGAGTTTCTGATTCAGTGGGTCTGGAATGGGCCTAAAAATTTGCATTTCTAGTAAGTTCCTAAGGATGCTAACCATGCTGATCCAGGCATATACTTTGGCCTAAATGTTCCAGCCTGGAAGGCCAGTTGAGTAGAAATTTGGCAAATTTGTCCCGTTGTTGCTATTGTTCCTTTGGATGAAGATTACCGTATTTTTCAGACTATAAGATGCATGTTTTTTTCTCTAAATTTGGGAGGAATCATGGTTGTTAATCCTGCTGTTAAGTTCTGTTTACATTTACATTGGTGAAATATTATGTATGTTATTAAATATTTTACCACATTTTTTGCTTCAAAATTTTCCCCCATTTTCCTCTTCTAAAATCCAGGTGAGTCTTATGGTCCAAAATGTGGTAAGTGCAGAATGGTGTAGAGAAACAAAACCTGGACCTCATCTTTGGACGCTTAGCCACAGGGTGGCCCCCTAGCTCCAGTAATGACTCCATTGGTCCCTAATTACAACAGCTTTTGTTATTTGGAGAGTTCCAGAATGATTTCTCTCTCTCTCTCTCCCTGCCCCTCCCCCTCCCTCCTTCTCCCTCCCTCTCTCTCTCTTTCAGTACTTTTAGCTGCAGGACCAGTGGTTTGCTGTTCACAAAAGGCTGTCGTGGGACATATAGTGCCTTTGTCAGCAATGTAAGATTCTATGCTCTTTTAGAAGTCATCACAGTCACTCCAATGGAAATGACATGGGGAAAGGAGGTTTGAAAGTCTGGCCGAGAAGGAAGGAAGTGTACTCAGGATCAACGTACACCTCCGTGTTGTCCTGGCTGGTGTGGCTTGGTGGATTGAGCCTGGCCTGAGAACCATATACACCCCTCCTCCTAACCCCTCCTCACAGGGAGGAGAAGGAGGCCTTCTATTCAGGTGCCAGCTGCCCTTCCCCTGCCCTCTTCATCTCATGCCCAGGCAGACAAGGTGATGGAGGGCCTACCGTGGTTAAGGGTGGGAGCAAGGACTGTGGGCTTTTGTGGGCCCACACAACTGCCTTGCTGTGCATGGTGTTGGTACCCGATGAGGAGCCGGGCTGTGCTGATGGGCCAGCAGCGTGAGTGCTGAGTAATTGGGGGGATGGGTGGCAATATGTGTGGACTTTATGTATGGCTCTTCCCCCTTCTCCCCTGCACACCTGTTCTCTGGCTTCTCTTTGTCGAGTGAAACATCATTGTATATATTAGTGGAGTCTGGAAAACACATCCAAGTGAGAATATGCAGAAGTTAAATATTAGGCAAACAAGGCTATGAAATTCCTAATGACACTTTGTCCATTAAACACATTTTTCAGTAATTGAGTTTTAGCCCTGGCTGCTGTAGCTCAGTGGATTGAGGATAGGACTGTGAAACAAAGGGTCACTGGTTTGATTCCCAGTCAGGGCACTTGCCTGGGTTGCAGGCCAGGTCCCCAGTAGGGGACACATGAGAGGCAACCACACACTGATGTTTCTCTTCTTCTCTTTCTCCCTCACTTCCATTTTCTCTAAAAATAAATAAAAAAAATCTTTACAAAAAATAAAAAAAGAAATCTGTATCTTTAAAAAAATAAATAATAAGAGTTTTAGCAGCTTAAGCCTGTTCCTTACGTGTGAACAGGCAGTTGTTCTTTCTTCCCAGTACGGGTCTCTGAGGTAATGGGTTGATTGCTTTGGGTACTACTGACAATCTAACCTTTGTTTCAGTTTTATTTAATTTATGAGACCTAGGCTTCTTATCACAAATATCATTATTTTCACTTCTCTGTTTTCCTCTCACTTGAGAGGAAAAAAACAGAACAAGGGCAAGGGCAATAAAATACTCAAGTAGCTATAAAACAGATATTGCTGAACCAACATGCGGACACCGCAGGGAAGGTCTGTGGGCAGGAGCACAGCATTATGAGAGGGTTTGAAGTATTTGTTCACTCGTGAAAGTTTGCATTTGTCACACGACGGGCGTTTAGGGAAATCCAGCCCTTGTCTGGAGCAGGGGGAGGTGTCCTCTGAATGGGAGCTGCGGCAGACCTTGCCCGTTGGCCCCTCAAGGCCCATTCCAGCTCCTCTACTTTCCTGAGCTATTTAAAGCCTGAAGAACTAGAAGCCACTTTTCCTGGACTTCCCTGAAGCTCTGCCCAACAGAGTCACCTGTGTGAAACTCAGAAGGCGAGGCTGGGAAGGTGGAAGTGAGGACTGCAGGGCAGAGCTACACTGTGAGGTCAGGTTGCAGTCGCTTGGCGGAGAGTGCCACCACCTGGTTCCTGGTGTCCCATGTGGAGGGTGGTGGGCTGTGGCGACAATGGGGCTTCTGTTAGTACAGTTCTTCTAGAATTCAGAACTCTTAGCTGCATTGTTCATGGCTACTTGCAGCCCACCTGTTCCCCCATCCCCAGAAATTCTGTATGCTCCTTACTAATACCCTGTAATCAGCACGTTTGCTTTTCATAACTAGAGTGGATTGTGTTGTCTGCAACTTAAAATCCTTATCGATAGACTACTCTCTCCAAATCAAAGCTCTTCATCCTGAGCTCAAGGAGCTCTGTTTGACATTATTCTCTTCAAACCCCCTGAAGTGTCGCTTGTCTCCATTATACTCTCCTCTAGTTACTGTTCACAGGTGTGATTTCTTCTTCCCAGGAGCTCTGGTGTTTATCAGTCAGAGGGGTTCCAGCACGTTTTACCTGATGGCTGATTTTTGCCCTGATTCCTCATCCAGTTTCTTGAAGGTGTTTATTTTGACATCCGGCCTGGTACTCCTTAGCATGTTTGTAGGACCAGTGGTTTCCTGTTCACAAAAGGCTGCTGCGTGGCACTGTCTCTTGGATGTTTTTTGACAGCATTCACTGTGAGAACACAAACACCACGAGGAAGTAAACACACTGACTTGCAGAACTCAAATTGGAAAAGCAATGCACACGTGCTCACTGATCCAGAGCGCACAGCACGGCATGCCATGCGGGCGCTCCTCGGCCAAGGGTGCGCAGTGACGCTCCCTCTGCTGGCTACTGCAGGGAAAAAACATGTTAACTCTAATCTTCAATAATGTACTCCCTCACGTGAACGGCACTGCCAGCTTTAAATATAACAATACTAGGGTAGTGTACTTTTATTTTATGAAAGGGCGGATGACAGGAAAGATAAATATAGGCACTGAAATCCACCCACAGATGCACCCACTAGACAGTGAGAGGAGGCACCTGTGCTCAGGACGTAGAGCTGCTGACTGCATCTCTAAAACCAAACTCCAGTGTGTGGGGGAACCCCCACACAGCACAGCAATTCTTCAACACTGGCCGGGTGTCCTGTGATCCAACTCAGTTCTGACACTACCTGGAGAGCGCCTCAGAGTGCGCAGGTTAAGGGCTCAGTCCCACAAAACTGCCTGCGCTTAAGATGCCAATTGCAAGCTCAGGTAGGTTGTCACCTGTGCTTCTGACTAACTGGCTGTATATCAGGGGTTCTCACAACCCTCTACTTGGGTTTGATGAATTTGCCAGAGGGGCTCACAGAACTCAGAAAACCCGTTTACTCACTAGGTTACTGGTTACTCTAAAAGGATGTAACTTAGGGACAGCCAGAGGGAAGGGATGCATAGGACAAGGTCAAGAAGCCTTAGCTCTCTGTCTGAAAGTGTCACTCTTCCCACACCTCCACCGGCTCACCAGCCTGGTAACTCTGAGGCTCCTCCTTCGGGGTTTTTATGGAGTCTTCATTACATAGGCATGATTGACTGAATTACGGCAATTAATTCAACCTCCAGTTTCTTTCCCAGGAGGTTAGGGGTTGGGACTGAAAGTTCCAACCTTCCAATCACATTGTTAACTTCCCTGACAACCAGCCCCCTCCTTAGGTACTTTCTACAGGTCACCTCATTAACATACATTCAATTGTGGTAGAAAGGAGCTGGTTATAAATAACCATTAAATGGTGCCATATAAGATACCATTTTACCTTTATGGCTCTGAAGCAATTTTAGGACCTGAGTCCAAGAGGCCAAATATTGATGACAGATGCCTCCATTACCGTTGTTGATCAGGAAATTCCAAGGATTTTGAGAGATGTGAGTCAGGAACTGTGGACAAAGACCAAATATATATGAGAAATATATTTTGGTCACCCGAATGACCAAATATACATTTCTTATAAATACAGTATTGTACTAGCTCAGTGGTTCACAGCCTTGGCTGCACAATAGAAGCACCTAGGACTTTTTAAAAAAAACATAAATAACCAGGCCACAAACTAGGCTGATCAAATCATTGAATCAGAATCTCTGTGGGTAGGGCCCAGGCATTTCATTTAAACTTGGGTGATTCTACCGAGCCCTCAAGGTTGAGAACCACTGGGTGAGGCTTTCTACTTTGCCCTATTTATTCTTGTGGTTATTACTTTTTATCCCATCTCTGTGGGCATCTGAGGATTTAAGATGAAGTAACAACATAGGTTTTTCTAATAAGTAGCATTTGAGGTTGGAGGCCAGCTTCCTGTTCAAAGAATATCTCCCTTACACAGGCCGGTGAGGATGGGAGCTGGACAAAGTTATGAACACATGGGGGAGGAACACACTCTCCTCTGTCCTCAAGGTTCTTCTGGCTGCTCTAATAATCAAATAGACATGAGACAGATTAGCAAGAGAAAACAAATTATATATATATGTATATATATATGTATGGGGACTCTGCATACACGAGAGTCGGAAACCCCAGATGCAAGAGAGGTTCAGAGGTAGAAAAGGGGATTGAAGTATGTAACACATCCTGAGCTAGGGATGAGGTAATGTAGCTCGGGGGCTTCAGAGGGTCACTGTAGATGATAAGAAGGACGGGCACTTAGTAAATATAGTTTGCCCTGTCCTGTAGATAGTAGTTAAAGGAAGAAGCCAAAGTTGGTTTGTTCTGTGCCTCACGGGTAAGTCAGCCCCGACTTCGGTGGAGGAGGCCACCCATTGGTCTCTGCGGCTCACAATGCTATTCTTTTGGAGCAGTGCCCAAGGGCCATCCAAAAACAAGCAGTGGGCTGGATTTGACCTGTGGTCCATGGTTGGCTGCCCTCTGCTTTAGAATCTAAAGTTTAGACGATCAAGATGAAATTAGCTGAGAGAATTTCCAATGGGCCATAGGACACCTAAGAAAAGACATGGTCACCCAAGGTGTCTGGTAACCACTACAGAAAGTTAGGTCTAATGCTAGGTCCTGCCCCCAGCCCCCATTTGTTTCCCTAATGAAGTATTACGTATGGGAAACGTGTGTATAACAATGAATTATCACAAAGTGAACACTCATCCAGATCAAGAAATAGAACTTGCTGGCATTTCTAGAGGTCTCTCCTGTCCCCCTCCCAACCACTGCCCCCTCTCTCCACCTAAAGAAGGTTACTAAGTTGACTTCTAACCCCACAGGCTAGTTTTGTTGTATCAATGTAGTAATAGTACATATAGCATTGCAGTCTTTGGTGTCTGGCTTCTTTCAGTCATCGCCATTGCTCTCGTGTTTCTGAAAAGACTGAATGCAGTGAACCACACAGAGTCCTGAGGCTGCCCTTTCATCCTGAGATTGGTTCTCTTAGTGTTGTGGCTGGAAACGAGGAGGGGGCCTGTGAGCCACATCCAACTACCCAGCCCAGGCTGCACTGTGGACTAGAGAGATAACA